CCAAAAATGATTGCCTTACAAAACAGTCTCGAATGGTTTCATACCATATGGCCTCTTTTAAGAGCGCTATTGAATTTAGGTGTTGATTCTGATGACTCACTTTCTTTCTTCTTCTCTTTTCAACCCTATTTGATGATTACTTTAGGTGGTGTCAAGACGCTCCGACTTGAAGCTTATTGTCACATCTGCCACCATGGACTCGGACAAATTTGCGTCATTCTTCGGCAATGTTCCTATTTTCCACATTCCCGGCAGGACGTTCCCAGTGGATATCTTGTTCAGCAAGGTGAGGTGTTAATAGCGTCTTTAGATGAAGCTGAAGTCGGTCGCTGTGCTGCATGCTAAAGTTTAGTGTGTTGCTGTGATCTAGACTCCTCAGGAGGACTATGTGGAGGCGGCTGTGAAACAGGCCTTGCAGATTCATCTCAGCGGGATGGTGGGTGACATCCTCATCTTCATGCCTGGTCAGGAGGACATCGAGGTGAGGAGATTTTTAATCAGGCAGAAGATGACTTATGAATGGAGTCACAGTTTGTATGCACTGTTAATGTTGTGCAGAGGCTGCTATTCAAAAGTTTTGTTTTTGATTCTCATATGCTCACCAAGATATATTCTTATTAGTGATACAACTAAAAAATCTAATCGTTCCCTTGTCTTACTATGGTTTATTGCGCCCTGTGATCCGCGGTTCAGAATATGCATTATTAAAGGGATGGTCCACTACAATATCCTATTTTAAACTTTAGTTGATGTGTAATGTAGCTGTGTAAACGTAAACATCATCAGAGCATGGCCAGAATCGCTGTAATGTTATAGCAGAGAAAGCTAAAATGCCTCCAAATGCTGCTCTTTCCACAGAGCTTCTTCTGTTTTTATAATTTAATGTTAATTATGTACAGGAGAATTATAAAACAATATATAGCTAGCATTTGACAAAGGAGAGCTTCTGCTTTCAGTGTCTCTCTATGCAGCCTCTTGTGTCGGAGGAGGGAAAGAAGGGAGGTGCATAAAAATTTGCATAAAAATGGGTTTCGGTTTGGGCACGCACTGAATTTCACAGAGGCAAAACAAACACACAGGCTGGTCAGAAAGACAGTGACCGTGTTTACATGGACATCAGTGATTAAATTATTTGACAAATTATTAAATGGTGGACTTTAACTGCAGTTTGGCACTTTCATTTAGGAATTTCATGCATGCCCCTGGTGACAAAGGAGATATTTGATTCGAGGAACTACTGGAAGCGTGTATTTTTAATGCGATGTTTGATACCGCACGGCGAATGAGAGAAAAAAAACCTCCGCGTTTCACTGTAACTTAGATGCACTCAGTAGGTAGCATCAGAAAGTCGTGTGTAGACTATCCTGTCACAAAATGCGGGAGAAATCCTACACGACGGTAATGGTTTGACTGCGGTGTTTACATGTTTACACTCAGAGCAGCATTTGCAGCGGATCTTTTAGTCCATAATATTGTAGTGATATTAACGTACTGTAAACTTAGTAACTTAGAAATCATTTGACTAGGGTCCGTTTTTAAACACTGAAAAAGTACTGCTGACGATACAAACTAACTTTGCCATCTGAACAAACAAAGACCACTGATCACACACACTTACCAAATCTGTAGAGACAGGACAATCAACACCAACTGGAGCTGCGTCTTTATTAAAGGAGCAAGTGGCAAATCCGGATTTCACCATTTCCAGATGAGAAAAGCTCTCGGGTACAAAATGTTCCTTAGACACGTATTTTCGCCACGCCTTGCGTGCACTGTAATCCACACCTGAGTCTAGCTGTGCTCCTATAAAGGGAAAATGAAAACAAAACCTTCCTTGCAGCAAATTATAAAAGCAACACCGACAACCCGTATCTCCAAACATTTCTCAACATGCTGTCTGAACACTGTAACAGGTAAAAACATTCTTCGAAGCTATCATGCATATTAATGAAGTTGCACCTCAAGCACAATAGAGCGCGCTGATTGGTTTGAACCAAGCCTTTCTCATGAATGAATGCAGCACACTCGGAGACATCACAAAAGTACCCCCAGGTACAGACATCCAGTCTCCATGTTGGAATACACGCAAGTATCTAATCGGCGTGACGCACCTTCAAAAATTAGTTTCAAACTGGAAGAACGAATTTGCTCGAAATAACGCAAAAACAACCAATTTTCACTGTTTAGTGAAATATATGTGTCCTAGTAGTGTTTTTAGCAGCGTGGGACACATAGATGATTGTCAACAGTTCAAGTAATGCGTTTTGGTGTTTCGTGACTCTAAATATTTGTACATTTAAAATGATTAAACAAATCATGGCATATTGGTAAATCTAATGGTTTAAAGAATAGTGCCAAATTATAATGATTTAAAATGATGAAGCCCTATGTAAATAAAGGTGACTTTATTAGACATGTCTGTGTTGTTTAATAATGCAAAATGTAACTTGGATTATGTCTGTGCTGCTGTAGGTGACGTCAGATCAGATTGTGGAACGGTTGGCCGATCTAGAGAACGCTCCAGCCCTGGCAGTGCTGCCCATCTACTCCCAGCTGCCCTCAGACCTGCAGGCCAAGATCTTCCAGAAGGTGAGCATCTGTCGGATAATACAAAACAGGGTTTTGTTTTGTATTTCAGATCAAATGAATGGACAAAATTATACTGATTCCATATTGTGGGATTTACAGATTTGTGAACTGACCCTGTGTGTTTATTAATAGGCTCCTGATGGAGTGAGGAAATGTATTGTTGCTACAAACATCGCTGAGACGTCTCTGACAGTGGACGGCATCATGTTTGTGGTGGATTCCGGCTATTGTAAACTGAAGGTGAAACCATTTGAAAGTGGAATCATTGACCTTAACTAGGAAACTCCACATCTGGTGTTAACATAAGTTTTAATTTGTGTTGTTTAGGTGTTCAACCCTCGCATTGGCATGGATGCGCTTCAGGTTTACCCCATCAGTCAAGCTAATGCAAACCAGCGGGCTGGTAGAGCAGGCAGAACAGGCCCAGGACAGTGTTACAGGTAAGGTCTTTTCACACAGTTCCTTAAAGGGATAATTCTTTATTAACACTTTAATAGGTACACCTCTCCAACTGCTTGTTAATGAAAGAGAATGGTCCAAATGAGAGAAATTATCCAGTGAGCGGCAGTTCTGTGGGCGCAAATTCATTGTTGATGCCCGAAGTAAGAGGAGAATGGCCAGACTGGTTCGAGCTAATATAAAGGCAACAATAACACAATTAAACACTCGTTTTAACCGAGGTATGCAGAAGAGCATCTCTGAATGCACAACACGTCCAACCTTGAGACAGATGGGATACAGCAGAAGAAGACCACACCGAGTTCAACTCCTGTCAGCTAAGAACAGAAAATTGGACAATAGAAGATTGGAAAAACGTTGCCTGGTCTGATGAGTCTTGATGTCTGCTGCAGCATTCAGATGGTAGGGTCAGAATTTGACATCAACAACATGAAAGCATGGATCCATCCTACATTGAACCTGCCAACGGTTTAGGCTGGTGCTGGTGGTGTATTGCTGTGGGGGATGTTTTCTTGGCATGCTTTCTGCCCATTAGTACCAGCTGAGCATCATGTCAACCTAAGGTATTGTTGCTGATCATGTCCATCCTTTTTTGACCAAAGTGGACCCATCTCCTGATAGCTACTTCCAGCAGGATAACGCTCCATGTCATAAAGCGCGAATCATCTCAGACTGGTTTCTTGAACATGACAATGAGTTCACTGTGCTCAAATGGCCTCCACAGTCACCAGAGCTCAATTCAATAGAGCACCTTTGGGATATGGTGGAACGGGAGACAGCAACTGCGTGATGCTATCATATCAATATGGACCAAAAACTCTGAGGAATATTTCCAGTACCTTGTTGAATCTATGCCACAAAGGAGTTCAGAAGGCAAAAGGGGGTACTAGTAAGGTGTACCTAATAAAGTGGCCGGTGAGTGTATATACTAAAGGAGAATGTGATATTACCCTTCTCACTCAGAGTTTGTTGTAGCAGGTTACCAACATTGACATTATACGTTAAGAAATTAAGAAAAGATGTCTCAGGACATCTTAAAAACATTTTGCTTTCTTTTGATGAAAAAAATCCCCTTTAATTAAAAACTACAAGGTAATAATAACGGGAAAAAGGTGAAGCATGTGCATGTAAAGCGTTTCATTTCTTCCCACCTTTATATTGTTTTTTTATTTGAATCAGTCAAAGGAGTCATCTAGGTGTCTCTGTATTATAAATACAAACCCTGGCCTCTCTTTGCTAAAACAGGAAGATGAACAGTGTGTAAATTAGCTTTAGTCAGATCTTCCCTCTCCCTTTTTTCTGAAACATCTATCAGGGAGGCAGAAAACTGCAGGAGGGGGACAGGACGGTAATCTAGAGAGGATTTCACGCAGTTTAATTTTTGTTTACACCTCTGAAAAATGTGAGACAAAGGCTCCGGTGGGCTTTTTGTCTGTGACCTTTTCCAAATCTGCACAGCCCGGAAGATGCGGCAACACGCTGCTTTGCGGTCACACAAAGGAAAACTCACACAAGGGATTGTTTTGCCTAACTGCAAGTGTTCCTGAATGCTTGCAAAAGTGTGTGGCACATGTCGGATTACTTGCAAATATCCTTTACTAAACATCTGTGCATCGAGAATCAATTCCGTTCTGCCGGACGCTTTATAATGTGGCCAAAATCGATGTGTGTGATGTGCATGTTGAATCTGCAACTCAAAAGCTCTGATTGCGGCACCTTCACTAAAGTCAGTAGGACTGATATGCATTAATGCATACGCTGTACTACAGAGCTTCCCAGGGTTCCGTCTTCACGCCATCTTCTGAGGGATTATCCATTTAGTTGAATTGCTGCGGAAATCTGCTGTTCTCTCAGATCTGTTTCTATGGAGCTGCAAGGAGAGCTGTGATATTTTAAGGTGCTCAGAAGTAGTTTGGAAATGGCTCTTTGTTATGGGCTTTCCACAAGATTTTCTAAAGGTTGGAGCATGGTAGGGAACTTTTTTTCAGTGTAGTAGAAGCATTTGTCATTTCCCCCAGCCTTTAATGGACATTTTGCATTAAATATTAGAGTTTCCGAGATGTATCACCAGTTTTGGTGTATTTCATTCCACTGCTTTCTTCTGAAATCAATTTGTTCATCAAACTGCTGCAGCGAAGCAGCAAAATCACAGCCAGTCAGATCATATTTCTTGTGTAATAGTCAAGTGCAGTGGATTTTTGGACTAATGAGATTACACTGCAGGTGGAGCTACCAACTAGGTGTGACAACACCTGTCTTGTCATTTCAAGTATTAATGTTTTTAGTTTGCTTTTATTTTGAGTTTTTTGGTTTTATTTGATTTTTTTATGCAAAGAGGTACACAAATCACATTGAAACGCATACAAAAACAAAGAACAGAGATAAAAAAAACTAACAAAAACTGTCAGATACAAGCAGGTGTGTGTACACATGTAAAGGTACTGGGTGGACAGGTCAAAGTACATAAATAAGAAAACAAAAAAATATATGTGCACACAGCAAGCATAACAGTAGAAATCGTATTATTATAGGTCATATATATCAAAAACTGAATATTATAAATAGAAATAAAACAGAATAAAACCATTGGTAGGGAATGACAACAATAATAGTAATGTAATGATGGTAAAAATTGACAACAATAATTATAAGAATGATAATAATAACACCACCAACTACTGCTACTACAACGACAATTACTACTACTACTACTACTACAAGGGCTACTATTAATGCAACAACAACTACTACAACAACAACAACAACAACTACTACAACTACTACTGTTACTACAACAACTACTACAACAATTACTGCTACCACTACTAAAAGGACTACTATTACTGTTACTACAACTACTTCAACAATCATTACTACTACTACTACTACTACAAGGACTAGTTTTACTGCAACAACATATACTACCAATACTACTACTACTGCTGCTGCAGTGACAACAACTACTACGACGACTACTATTACTAATACTACTACTACTACCACCTCTACAACTACTACGACAACGACTACTGTTACTACAACAACTACTGCAACAATCATTACTACTACTATTACAAGGACTACTATTACTGTTACTACAACAACTACTGCAACATTCATTACTACTACTATTACAAGGACTACTATTACTGTTACTACAACAACTACTGCAACATTCATTGCAATTAGTTCTTCTACTACTACTACTACAAGGACTACTGTTACTACAACTACTGCAACATTCATTACTACAAGGACTACTACAAGGACTACTATTACTGTTACTACTACAACTACTGCAACAATAAATACTACTACTACTATTACTACTACAAGGATTACAATTTCTGCAACTACTACAACTGCTGCTAATACTACTACTACTATTACTACAACAACTACTAAAACAATTACTACTACTACAAAGACTACTATTACTGCAACAACAACAACTACAACAACAATTAATATTACTACAATGGCTATTACTGCAACAAAAATATTACAACAATTACTACAACAGTTACTACAAGGACTACTATTACTGCAACTACTACTACTACTACAACATATTCTACTCCCACTACTAATACAACAACTGCTACTTCTACTGTTACTACAACAACTACTACAACAATTATTACTACTACCACTACTACTAACAACAACAACCTAAATAGTGACAATGGTGGAAATTCTACTAATGACAAACAATGGGGAGATAACAGAAAAGGAACAAGTCAGAACAGTAATAATAATAATAACCAATATAAAAGTATAAATCTTAATGATAATTTTCATAATATAAATGACTATTTAAATTTAAAAGAGATTTTTTTGGATTTTTTTTTACTTTGCTAGATTTATTTTAGTGCTTTGCCTAGTTAATATTTTATTGACCAACCTTTGTGTTTATGTAAAAAAAAAATTGTTATTTTTTTGTGCTATTTTTTTACATACACTAATGATGTCTATCGTAAATGCCTACCTTAATTTACAACATAGACTGATCTTTAAAAAAAAATCATATATTTTATTTAACATAAAAAAACAATTTTATTATTTTTAGAACAATAACCATTTGGTAACATGTTAAAGGTGCAGTTCAAAACCACAAAAAATCATTGCCCGCCCAATTGTTGATGCTGACCCTAAAATGAAATTCAGTGAAAACCATTGCGTCTATTTTTTCTTTTGTGTTAAAGCAACACAATGCTACGTTCCTCCCCCTTGTGGTTGATATGTGTAATTGCCTGTTATGCCTAGTTCACACTAGAGGATTTTAAGCCTGATTTGAGCCCGATTTGGAAGTTAACGAGCTCGCCGACAGATCGGGCTGTGATCGGCAAGAAATCTGCAGGTGCACGGCGCTCGCCGCTCTTTATGTGTGAACTACTGAACAACGCATCAACGAGGCTCGCTGACGCTTCGCCGACACCTCGCAGACGGAAATCCAACATTTCGCATGCTAAATATTCCAGAGCCGTCGGCCGACTCAACCCCACGTGTGGTCAGATGTAGTGACGAGCTGCAGCCAATGAGAGAGCATATCAGCATGAGCTGAATGGCTGTGTGTTTCTGAGCTCAGCAGAAACATCTGTGATTGGTCAGAATGGGCATCGGTGCACTCGCTTCATTCTGCGTTAGCACAGACATGAGAGTAGGATATATTAACAGTGGAACTAGAATCCTGTAACTATTAGAATGATCATACTGCTCATTCTGGCCGTTCTCATATAAAACGCCATATTGTCACAACATATTTACATTCAAAGCTATTATTGAGATATTAAAATTAAGCTTTGCATGTCTGGCATCATATTTAATGACACATTACCCTAAAAATATAATCTTATTTTGGTAATACAGCCTATAAATATGCAGTTAAGATACTAAAACACTTAAAGGTCTTGGCTTTCATTTTCACTTTCAAACAGGAGCTATTCGGTACAGAATATGCTGTTTTGAAAGATAAAGTAAATTGATGTTTTTGCCATTAGAAAGTTTTGTTTATGTTAGCAGGAAGTTGCCAGGCAAAAAAATGCACATATTTAAAGTCACAGTGAAAAGTATCAGACATGCATGCAGTCATTTTGACCAATATGGTATTTTAAGGCAGAAATGCTCAGTTCTTTACTGTTTTGTAATAAAAAAAAACAATGTCAGAAAGAAATACACTGATAGTTAGAAAACAGCAGGCTGTTATTTGTTAGTTTTATTTTAAAGACTTGTACAATTACAAAAATTAACTCTCTGTATATCTATCCACTCGAAGCTTGCAGATGAGTGATTAATGCGCTGATGAATCAGCTGATTTGATGATGTTTTTAAATGCTTTCTCCAAAGCTTGAAACGCTGTCAGTGATGTCATCAGCACACAAGCAGCCAATAGTGTTCAGCTTTTTCTGACGACTCCTCCCTCAAAATTTCATTGGCTGTGGTTTGGTAGCTTGAATGAGCTGTTGGGGAATGAGATGTTGTCAGATCATGTAGTGTGTGACCCCCCTCTTGTGAATCATTCACAGAGTGTTGCGTAGTGTGAACACCACAGAGATTAAAAGACACAAAGTCAAGTCATGTAGTGTGAACGGCACAGCGATCTGCTGATGTTTTAAATCCTGTAGTGTGAACTAAGCTTTAGCAACAAAGCAAATCAGACTGTTCCACTCATAGCTATTTCTCTATCACACATAATTAGATGCAATATTTAAGGCAAAAGGAGGCAGATCTGGTAGCCACAGCAGCAGAAATCATCTATTTAACATTTAATCTATCCCAGATCTAATTTAAGAAGTGTTATTTTAAGGTAAAAGCATGAACTGGCCAGTGAGTTTGACCCTTCTTTCCTTTGTGTCTGTTCTTTTAAGGTTATACACACAGAGCGCCTTCAAGAATGAAATGCTGACCACCACTATTCCAGAGATTCAGCGCACTAACCTGGCTAATGTTGTGCTTTTGCTCAAGTCACTGGGAGTTCAAGACCTCCTGCTCTTCCACTTCATGGACCCGCCCCCAGAAGACAACATGCTGAACTCCATGTATCAGCTGTGGATCTTGGGTGCACTCGACAATACAGGTGAGACTACCAGCCTCTGGCACTGCCCTGAAATAACATGTTTACTGTTGTATATTTTTATATGTATATCTAATTAAGTCTTAAAGGAACACAAAGGCTCATTTTACATCTCCACTATACAGTTAAACATGTAAGTTTTACCATTTTGAAGTCTATTCCACTGATTTCCGGGTCTGGCAGGAGAATTCTTAGCTTAGCATTGATAATTGTATCCAATTAGACCATGGAAACTTAGCTAATGTAACTACAGAGGAGTCAAGCTTTAAATAAGAAAATTATTGAAACGCTTCGGTCATTTTTGAGCGTGATGCTAATGGTCTAATTCAATTTAATTATCTATGCTAAGCTAAGCTAAAATGTATACATGCATACTATATAAAACTTAAAATGAGTCTATTATTTTGGTATTGTTTATAGTTTGGCAGCATGTGTTGTTTATAGTTTGGCACCCTCACAGCAAGAAGATCGCTGGTTCGAGTCCTGCCTGGGCCAGTTGGTGTTTCTGTGTGGAGTTTGCATTTTCTCCTAGTGTTGACGTAGGCGTGGTATAAATGAATTAAGTATACTAAACTGGTTGTAGTGTGTGTGTGTGTGTGTGTGTGTGTGTGTGTGTGTGTGTGTGTGTGTGTGTGTGTGTGTGAATGAGTGTATGGGTGTTTCCCAGTACAGGGTTGTGACTGGAAGGACATCTGCTGCGTAAAACATATGCTGGAATAGTTGGTGGTTCATTCCACTGTGGCGACCTCTGAAATAGAGACTAAGCTGAAGGAAAATGAATGAATTTGTCCATGCATTCAACAATTAACCAACAACAGCCACAGTTTTAGTTTCCAACATTCACTTTTTGTGATCAAATTATTTACTTATGCACAAAATTAAGTCCAGTAATACATCTTTTTTATTCATATATATATACAGCTCAAGAAGAAGAAAAGTTTGTTTTAATTTCTAGGATGCTGTCTTTGGTTTTACTTGTTAAGATCAATGTTTATTTATTTATTCATTCATTTATTCATTTTCCTTTGGTTTAGTCTTTATTTCAGAGGTCGCCACAGCGGAATGAACCGCCAACTATTCCAGCATATGTTTTACAAGGCGGGCGATCTTCCAACCGCAACCCAGAACTGGGAAACACCCAAACACACAAACTCATACACTACGGCCAATTTAGTTCATTCAGTTCACCTATAGAGCATGTCTTTAGATCGTGGAAACAGGAGCACCCGGAGGGAACCCACGCCAAAACGAGGAGAACATGTCCAGCCAGGACTCGAACTAGCGACCTTGTTGCTTTGAGGCGACAGTGCTAGCCACTGAGCCACCATGCCGTCCGAGTTGGATTTTTATGGTCAAGTGTATTATTGGAAAAAAGCATTTTATTATGTTTTACTGATGCATATTTATATGAACAACTTTTTGTTCAAAATTATGTGATGAACGAACATATTTGCCTGTAATTTTTTTTTGTAGCATATTCATTTTGCCAGTGTTTGGATATTTCAGTGTTTGAAGATAACTGACGCTATTGACATTATTTTAATTTGGGGATGAAACTCTAGAGTGTAACTTGCATTCTAGCGGAGTAGATTTAAGCTTGCGAAGCGCTGCTGTGGAGTATTAAGGTCTTACCCAAAGTTCAGCTGTAGCAAGTGAAGTAAAACTGTCAACGTGACCAGAGAGGGATCTCAATCTCATTTTCTGCGTATCTCTCGGAGGGTTTGTGGGGATTTGACTATGTGGCACACTTTTCCCATCCAGCTCTCGTCTCGTGTTAACAGCAGATTATTTCTGATTAAGGCTTACCTGCCCAAATATCTCTCTCTCCCTGGCTTTTCACAGCGCTCCCTCGCTAATCTTCTTAGTCTGTCAGGTAATCTTTGAAATCGGAGCTTCTCAAAAGTTTGATCAGAATCCCAAAGTGGAAGCGTTTTCCCAGCGTCAGCACTTTTCAAAGAGGCGCTTTATAATCCCTTTTGACTTTTGCCTGTGTTTGAGAGTGTGTTTTCTTCTCGTGTCTGTCTCAGGCGCTCTGACACCCACCGGGCGGCTCATGGTGGAGTTTCCTCTGGATCCGGCTCTGTCTAAAATGCTGATCGTGTCTTGTGACATGAGCTGCAGTGCTGACATCCTCATCATCGTCTCCATGTTGTCTGTGCCGTCCATCTTCTACAGGCCAAAGGTACACTGGAAAAAGAATACATTGCAATATTTACATTTGTTTTCAGCAATATAGACTGTTCACTTTAATCTTTCGGCCTGTAAATGTTCTGTATACATCTATAAGTGCTCAAATCTGCCGTTACTCATCTAGGGTCGAGAGGAGGAAAGTGACCAGGTCAGAGAGAAGTTCTCCGTGCCTGAGAGTGACCATCTGACCTACCTCAACGTTTACCTGCAGTGGAAGAACAACAACTATTCCAGCATCTGGTGCAATGATCACTTCATTCACACCAAAGCCATGCGGAAGGTACGTCAGCCTGAGGCATCCCTCTCAGGCCCCGTTTACACTAGTGCGTTTTAGTTTTAAAAATGGCGTTTTAGAATGAAAATGATCAGCGTCCACTAGGGATGTAACGGTATCAGAATTTCACGGTACGGTAATACCTCGGTATGAATGTCACGGTACGGTATTTATTGAATCATTTACAGGAAAAAACAAAACTTATGAAAATACTCCAAAAAAGTGCCAAAAGTGTCAATGACATACAAATTAGTCATCTATCTGTAAGCTTTGAAACAGGAACTTCAATTTTAATAACAAAAAAATATTAAACCATGTAAAAAAATTAAGTTTCAATTTAGTATTGTTGAAAACTCATCACATTCAACATTTAATCACTCACTCACTTAGAGATGGGTTTAAAGGAAAATTATCATATAAATATAATCTGGTAAAAGCTGGTATCTCTGGGTATTTACAATGTCCCCTGCAACAGAAAAAAACCCTCTCATTTGGGACTGAGGTTTCTGGGACAAGAGAGATATGACTTGGCCCAGGTTGACAGCAGTGGGTAACGTTGTGCATTGTCTTTCCCCCACTTGAGAGGACAAACCATGAGTGAGATAGAGATCTCATGTCTGCATCAATCTGAACAGTGTGCTGTGTTTCTGCAATGCCCATGACTGATTATTAGTCGTATTCCCCAACTTGCAGGCACGTGCACACACAGGGCTCAACCTGTGCAGTGCACATGCCCTTTTTAGTCTTGGATAGAAAGTTCCCTTCCAAAATGATCAAAAGTGCCCCCGCGACGCGACATACCCTCCGTCCCCGCTTTACAGTACGCGCGAGACAACACAGCTGATCAGAACTCGCGCGATAACACCGCTATTCAGTACGCGCGTGACAACACAGCTGATAAGAACTCGCGCGACAACACAGCTGATAAGAACTCGCGCGACAACACCGCTATTCAGTACGCGCGCGGCGACAACACCTGCTTTAGGGTTTTCCAGCTCTTTTTCATCCCTGCTTCTAGCAGCACACTCCATTTCCGCATTACTGGATCTGTAGCGACAACAGACCGCAAGGGATTATGGCCAAGCCTGGGCTGATGGGAATTGTAGTTTTTGCTACCTCCCTTTCGCTTCATTCGCCTGAGCAAATTTTCTCAGAAGATCTATAGTTTTACCGAGTCATGCGACTACGGTAATATTGAAAAAAAATAATATTGCGGTATGACGGTATTTACAATACCGTTACATCCCTAGCGTCCACACTAGCGTTTCCCCCAGCGTTTCTGAACAGCTCTCCGTCCACACCAAAACGACTGAAACGCACATCACGTGACCACACACACACTCTCTGGCATGCGCTGCAGCATTTCTACCCAGATGAGAGCTGTGCTGGTCGGACTGCTCAATAAAGATCTACAGCTGGATCTAATCTCATTATATTTGCTAAACGTGATATTTAATTATGTTGGCTTGAGAAAGCCAACATACTGTTATGCTACTCTGTCCTTGAAAACAAACGCATCTCCTCCTAGGCCGTTCATGCCACAAGGCCCAAATGTTGTCAAAATGTGTCTTCTACATTCAAGATTGTTGCTATATCTCCTCATGCCTATAAGACTTATTGTTTTTAATAAAAAATGTTAAATATTACATTTTTATAATCCGAGCATATAAAAAAATTATACAAGCCCCAAATTTGGCCAAAAGCTGTATTAAGATGCGTTATATTTTGTTGCTATATATTTAAGGTTTATCAGACTTACAGTTTTCCAATAAATAATTTTTAAGCATTATTTTTCTCAAAATATGGCAAGCCATTTTTGACTTAAACTCCATATTTTTTTACTGATATGGCAAGCCATTTTTGCATGTATCACTTTCACACTTATTAAGCATTGTCTTTTCAAAAAAATACGGCAAGCCATTTTTACATAATGTTCATTCCCTTAGTCCCTTTATTAATCAGGGGTCACCACAACGGAATGAACCGCCAACTTATCCAGCATTTGTTTTACACAGCGAATGCCCTTCCAGCCGCAACCCAACACCAGGAATACATAATGTTCAAGTCCAGTTTTTGACACTCATAAAGACTGTCATAGAAACATTGGGGTTGATTAAGATCACTCATATTGCCAAGAAGCTTTGATGTATCATCACTAACCTGTCAAATGTCCCCATAGCAATAAAACAGTATAACCTAGCAACCATTTAAAAATAGCATACATCAGAACATCGTAGGGACCTGGGCATTGGCTTGTTTGACTCATGCTAGCAAATGGGACTTCCTGTGTACTATGCATGGTAAAAATGATAATGGAAGCCAAGTGCTAATAACGATTAGCTACATGCTATGAATGATTATCTAAATGCAATGACATATTCTAGAAATGCCTACTAAGTATTAGCATTTGATCAAACATGTACACGAGCATTGCCATTTAGCAACTGCTTAGCAACCACCTAACAATGCCATAATTGTTTTAGCAACTGCCTAGCAACCACTTAGCAACCGCCGCCGTGCTTCCTGCCAACTGCCATTCCCAGTCCTAGCGCAGTGTCTTTGGCTTTCTCAAGCCAACATCAAATTTTATCAATAAACTTTAGTTTATCTTGTTGTCTTTATCTAACGACATATTCCCTGACTTTGATCTTTTGAATCGATTACTTGTTCTCAGGTAACGTGTTTCGGCTGAGCGCAAAGAATAGTTAATAATTAATATAACCACGTAGACTACATTCTGCATATTGACTGATCGTTTGCCTTCATTTCCTATAATGTATAAACTTACTGTGCGTTATACTTTCATAATGGCTATTATTTATAATTAAAACTGACATTCAGCCAAGCAGAGGCTATGTTTCGTATTTTCAATGAAAATGAAAGGAGGCAGTTGTTATAGGCTCCATTTTATTATAAATATGCACACAGTGAAGATGCAGCACGACGCCTCAACATTTCTGCTGTCTGTTAAGTTGTTAATATCAAAATGAAAATAGGCAGTTCCTTAAATCATGTTTTAATTTTATTGTTGAGAAAGTTAAACAATGCAGCCAGGATGATGTGAATAAGGTTATAAAGTACACCGTTCCCTTTGAAGATTTACCCGTGTCCTCGGTAGTCTGTTTTCCATATCAAACTTGCAAAGTATCAAAAATATCAAATGTCTGAACTTACAAGGAGAGGCTGCGAGACTGAACTGCATGTGTAGGCTACTTAATATTGAGGAAAATCCCCAGTCAGAGAGGGGAATGTCGGCAGCCCCGCCTCCGTTTTCAGATGTCTCCGTTTTCCCACATCCACACTGAGACGGAGCAGCAGCGTTTTAGAATGAAAACGGCCTCTTCAGCGTTTTTGAAACGCTTCGTTTTCGGCGCTCGAGAACTTCCGTGTAGTGTGGACGGTTGGCGTAACCGTAGCAAAACTTATGCGTTTTAAAACGAAAACACACTAGTGTAAACGGGGCCTCAGTTACTCAAATGATTCCCTTTTAGGTGCTATATGTAATGATTCTTACTGTTGCATAAAAATACTATCATATCTTTGTTGATATTTAAGAAACATATTAACTCGTTTCGTGAAAAGAAACCAGATTCAAGCAATTTGTTCGTCTGCACCACTGATGTGTTTATCACATCAGTAACAACCGTGACAGAAAAATAATAGAAGGGAATAATATTTCTAAAGGAGCTGTTGAGATGGAATTGAACCAGATTTTGGTTAAAGTACAAACATCAACACAAAACAGAACAAATCTGAAAAATAAGATATGTGTATTAACAGAGGAATGACCCAAAGACAAAGTACTGAACTACTGAAACGTATTTAATACTTCATATAAAAGGCTTTTTTGGTGATGGCAACTTAAAGACGCCTGCAAAAAACAGAAATGTGCGCACATCTAAAAAATCTCGAAGGCTGGTGCTCCATCAAAAATAAACATTGTAGCGAAAGATCAAAAGAATATCGGCACACTGCCACTTTAGCTCTCAAAAGTCTTTAATATCACTCACAACATTTCGACCGACATGGTCTTCATCAGATAAAGCAATACAAATGGGAGTACTCAAGAAAGAGTGAAACAGCTCTACACACAACACCTGCAGTCAATCATCACTATCAGCCAACAAGCCAGTAAACAGGAACATTTACACACAACAGTGACAATATTAGATACATACATATCATTACAAAAACGATTTAAAATACACATCCAAATGTTTGCTTACTTGGAGACAGAGTATTCAATCTACAGGGTTGGCCATTTAAATGGATACACCTTAATAAAATGGGAATGGTTGGTGATATTAACGTCCTGTTTGTGGGACATTAGTATATGTGAGGGGGCAAACTTTTCAAGGTTGGTGGTGACCATGGTGGCCATTTTAAGGTTGATCCAACTTTTGTTTTTTTCAATAGGAAGAGGGTCATTTGACCATCAAACTCATTGGGAATGTCACAACAAAAACCATGGTGTGCTTGGTTTTAATGTAACTTTATTATTTTATGAGTTATTTACACATTTCTGACCACTTATAAAATGTGTTCAATGTGCTGCTCATTGTGTTGGATTGTCAATGCAACCCTCTTCTCCCACTCTTCACACACTGATAGCAACACCGCAGGAGAAATGCCAGCACAGGCTTCCAGTATCCCTAGTTTCAGGTGCTGAAGAACTACTTGGAGATTTCAGCTGCTGTCTGGGCTTTCACTGCCTTTCTACACCTCCCTTTCTTCATGTGTTCAATACTTTTACCTTGTGTCATTTCATTCTATTACAGATTACTTAGTTTGTAAACTAATTAGTTTTGTTTTCTTTGCGGATATGGATTTATGTGGCTGTTACCAACATCTGGGGAAAATTTCAAGTTAACAGCACTTTTAGAAACACATTGACTGAGAAAAATGATGATGTGTTGATACTTATTTTCCCCACTGTAAATTAGAAATGTCTAATAAAGTGAAAATTAGAATGAAGTGCAATTAGAAATATTAATGTCAATCTTTTGGTTTAACTGTATATGTCTCTAAAAGCTGATGTGCATTATGTCAGCACGTAATTAAGCATATCTAATATTTTAATAACTATGTGTGTGTTGTGGCACAGGTGCGTGAGGTGCGAGCTCAGCTCAAAGACATCATGGTGCAGCAGAAAATGAATCTGATCTCCTGCGGTTCAGACTGGGACGTGATCAGGAAGTGCATCTGTGCTGCATACTTTCACCAGGCTGCTAAATTAAAGGTACATGACCATTTAGCAAATTTGTCAAATAATTCAGTTATATCACTCAGCACAGGATATTTTGCTGACCTGTGTTTGTGTGTTTAGGGAATTGGAGAGTATGTGAATGTGAGAACCGGGATGCCCTGTCATCTGCACCCCACCAGCGCTTTGTTCGGGATGGGCTACACCCCTGACTACATCATCTACCATGAACTGGTCATGACCACAAAGGTACTACTTCCTCCTCAGTCCGTTAATGTGTTAGTTAGTTTGAATTACAATTTGCTATAACTGTTGATGCACATGCTCTAATACCATTTGACACCAAGCTGTAGTCAATTCAACTTGTAATATGGAAATGATAAGAAGAAGAATAATATTTAAATAAGCAAACAAACAAATTAATTAATAAATAATTTAATTTAGCACCATTGTGTGGTGAATGCAACTTGTAATATTGCAATAATAAATAAATAAATAAATAAGCAAACTAACAAATAAGCTTATTACTTAATTAAGCACCAGGCTGTGGAATTCTACTTGTAATGTTGAAATATTGAAAAACTATAATAATAATAATAATAATAATAATAATAATAATAATAGTAATAGTAATAATAATAATAATAATAATAATAAATAAGCAAATAAACAAATGCATTATTTCATTAATTAAGCACAAAACTGTGGTGAATTCAACTTGTAATATTAAAATATTGAAATAATAAATAAACAAAAAAAAATACTAATTACTTAATTAAGTACCAAGCTGTGGAATTCTACTTGTAATGTTGAAATATTGAAAAAATATATAATAATAATAATAATAATAACGAAAATAAATAAGCAAATACATTATTTAATTAATTAAGCACCAAGCTGTGGCGAATTCAACTTATAATATTGAAATACTATTAATAATAATGATAATGATGATAATAATAATAATAATAATAATAATAATAATTATAATAATAATAAATAAGCAAGCAAACAAACAAATAAGTAAATAGATTGAATAATTAAGTAAGTAATTTATTTATTATTTGTATTTATTAATAAGACTTTTATTTGTTGTCAAAAAATTTTATGTATTTGGTTTTAAATGGTGTAAAAAACACTTTTATAGTTAGAGGAATTATAATTTATAAAATGTTCGAAAATTAAACCCTGGAAAGATTTTTTTTAAATCAATTTATAGTAACACATGCTACTGAAAATGATCAGTTTATGGTGAGTTTTTTGAAAGTGAAAACAAGTAATGGAAATAAAGTTTATTATAAATCTTTTTCGCCCCCCCAAAAATAAGTTATTTTAAGCTGACATAGTTACAGTGTAGCTATTCATTTAACTACTGAGTAATATAAGGTAATTAAATGTATTTACTATATGGTTGGGGTTAGAATGTGGGTTAGTTACTTTATAAATAACTTATTGTAATATAGTAAGTGCATGTAACATGTGTAACTAAGTCACCTTAAATTAAAGTGTAACAAAAAAACAAACAAACATAATTTTAATGATATACTCATTAACAAATTTCAGTCATCTAATATGTTCTAGTGTACTGTCCATCATATACACTGCCTGATAAAAGTTTTGTCATTGATCCCAATTGTAAGAGCAAGAAATAATAACTTCTAGTTGATCATTTGGAAAAGCGGCAGAAGGTAGATTTTTCTGATGCATCATCTGTTGAACTGCATCCCAATTACCACAAATACTGCAGATAACCTACTGGAACCCGCATGGACCCAAGATTCTCACAGAAATATACATTGCTCCAGTATTGTCCAGCCCAGTCACCAGAAATGAACATTATTGAGCATGTCTGGAGTAAGATGAAGAAAGAGGCATTGAAGATGAATCCAAAGAAACTTAAGGAGCTCTGGGAGTCCTGCCATTCCAGATGACTTTACTATTTGAGTCATTGCAGAGATGTATGGATGCAGTCCTCCAAGCTTATGGGAGTCATACACAATATTAAATCTTTTTCCGCTGCAGCATGACTTTTTATTCTATAATGTACATTATTTCTGTGTAGTGACAAGATTTTTGTCTAAGCAAAGTCAGACCTTACTGTCCTGATTAAATTATTAGAAATCAAGGCATGATCATGTTTTATTTTGGTAAAATAAGTGTAATCTAGAGGCATTTGTCTTTCATATAAGCCACTTCTGATACCAAGTGATCGACTAGAAGTCAAGTTATTATTTGTTGTTCCTAAAGCTTGGCTAGGCAACAAGACTTTAGTCAGGTAGTGCACTATGGAGTCCTGGTGATCATTGATTTGTTGACGTGTGTGTATATTTGTGTTTCAGGAGTACATGCAGTGTGTGACGGCAGTGGATGGTGAGTGGCTGGCTGAGCTGGGACCAATGTTCTACAGCATCAAACACGCAGGGAAGAGCAGACAGGTGCGCAAATTCAAATCACACCCAACACTTAATAAGAGTGTGCAGTATTCATCACCTGCATTGTTTTAACAATGTGCCAGCTGATTATGAAGTGTCACTTAATTTGGGGGAATAAAGCACACATCTTGAGAGCCCAAAAGCATTCACTGCACGATAAAGCCTATTAGAATGTTATGAAAGCGAACAAATTAATTTCACCGAAGTAAGTATATAATATTCCTGAATATCAGTATGTTGGCCTGATTGCATAATTGTTGTGGATTTAAGATTACAGTTCAACAAATAAGAGGTCAGAAAGCTACATTCTAGGATAACACTTCAGATTAATTAACAATTCATACCATTTACAACTGGCTTATTATCTGCCTGTTATTAAAATATTAACTGTTTATCAGCACTTATAAAATATTAACTTATTCTATTTCCTTAATCCTACCCAATACCTAAACAAAACTACTACCATACTAAGTATTAATAGGCAATTAATTGGTAATTTATTGAGCTAAAAGTCTTAGTTAACACTTAGCTAATATCGTGAATTAATTATTAAAAATAATTTATAAACTATTTTAGAAATTTTGTCTTTTGTTTTGCATTTTGTCAATGATAATGGATATATCCGCACCTGTACGATTGCTCGCATAGAGATATTAAAGACTGAGAGGGTGTTGCACATCGAACGAGAAGCCAACCACATCGCACCGTTTTTTTTTTTTTTTTAATGAGTTTGCGCACACCGACTGATAATAAACAATAAAAAACAATGTAAAGATGTGACTTTCTATGGTGGCACTTCATGTGGAGAAGATTTAGATCAGGTTTACCATATGTTTGCAAAAAATGTTCTTCTCTCTCAGCTGCCATTGTTGTGTTTGTGTCACGCTGCTTGCAGTTACACCTATTTACAACCCTGGCTACTTCAGCGTAGGCATTGGATGACAACCAGTTTTAAGGTTTACTGCGGTTTGGAAAAGTCAAGGTTTTAAAATAAATTTCTGTTATACTGTTCCTGCAGTATAATTTTAACATGTCATTTTATTTAGCTTTTTTTAAGACGACAAAATCTCCATCAGAAAAGGACCCTTCAAATCAAAAGCTATTGAACATTTGAAAAACAAATCGCTTATAAAGTAACATATGCTTGATACTATAGACATGAATAGTGCCTTGGCTTACTGAATATTCAAAGAAAATAATGATGTCCAAAGATGTCTTTTCAAGTTGTAAAGAAATATGTGTTGAAACTAATGCAGATAGCAGAAGTCATTGATTTATTTTAATCGCTTGCCCTGATCCAAAATATTTGAAATGTTTCTTAAAATAAAAAACATCCTGTTAAATGGGGAAAAAAATATGCTTTCTTACCCAGACTTTAAAAATATATATAACAAAATATTTTAGAGCAGTAATCTACCGTGAAACCATGATATTTTAATCAGAGATTATAATACCATCAGAATCTTATACCTGTCCTTGCCTTCTGCAGTGTGAGGGGAAAAGAATAAAAAAGAAAAGTATATCGAGACTTTTATCTCTGATGTACCATGCTAATAGTGCTTTAAGACTAGTTTTGTGGTCCATGGTCACATTTATGCAGTTTTCTGTCACTTACCTTAAAATTAATCTGCCATTTTGACCAAATCTTTTGAAAGAACAACTCTGTTAAGCTTCATACAGTGCATCCGGAAAGTATTGATAACGCTTAACTTTTTTCACATTTTTATTTTATTTTTCAGCCTTCTTCCAAGATGGATTAAATTAATTTATTTCCTCTTAATTGTACACACAATACCCCATAATGACAATGTGGAAAAATAGTTAATAAAAATAAAAAACCTGAAAAATCACACGTACATCAGTATTCACAGCCTTTGCTCAATACTTTGATGATGCACCTTTGGCAGTAATTACAACCACAAGTCTTTTTGAATTTGATGCCACAGGTTTGGCACACCTGTCTTTGGGAATTTTTGACCATTCCTCTTCGCAGTACCTCTCAAGCTCTATCAGGTTGGATGGGAAGCGACGGTGTTCAGCCATTTTCAGTTGTCTCCAGAGATATTCAATAGTCTTTAGGTCTGTAGGTCTGGGCTCTGGCTGGGCCGCTTAAGGAAATTCACCGAGTTGTTGTGAAGCCACTCCATCGATATTTTGGTGCTGTGCTTTGGGTCATTGTCCTGCTGGAAGATAAACCATCACCCCAGTCAAGAGCACTCTGAAGCAGGTTTTCATTCAGGATGTCTCTGTACATTGCTGCATTCATCTTTCCCTCTATCCTGACTAGTCTTCTAGTTCCTGCTGCTGAAAAACACCCCCACAGCATAATGCTGCCACCACCATGCTTCACTGTAGGGATGGATTTAACCTGGTGATGAGAGGTGCCTGGTTTTCTCCAAATGTAATGCCTCGCATTCACTCTAAAGAGTTCCATTTTAACTAAGGCCCCTCTCCCCCAATCACTCAGCTTAGATAGCCGGCCAGCTCTAGGAAGAGTCCTGGTGGTTTCAAACATCTTCCACTTACAGATGATGGAGGCCGCTGTGCTTATTGGAACTTTTAGAGGAGCAGAAATGATTCTGTAACCTTCCCAAGCCTTGTGCCTCGAGACAATCCTGTCTCAGAGATCTATAGACAATTCCTTTGTCTTTATGCTTGGTTTGTGCTTTGACATGCACTGTCAACCCTGAGGCCTTATATAGACGGGTGTATGCCTTTTCAAATCATGTCCAATCAACTGAATTCACCACAGGGAAACTCCAATTGAGCTGCGGAAACATCTCAAGAATGATTAGTGGAAACAAAATGTACCCGAGTTCAATGTAAAGCTGCACGGCAAAGGCTGTGAATACTTATGTACATGTGATTTTTCAGCTTTTTTATTTTTTTATAAATTTTCAACAATTTCTAAAAATCTTTTTTCACATTTTTAGATTTCTGAGGAAATAAATAAATTTAATCTATTTTGTTTTGGCTAGAATAAAAGCAGTTTTAATAAAAAAAAATCCTAGTTAAGCCTTTAAAGGTCACTATAAGCTGATTACTAGTATCTTGAAAAATATCTAGTCATCATGGCAATGATAAAAAAATGAATAATTAGAAATGAGTTATTAAAACTATTATGTTTAGAAATGTGTTTACAAAAACAAAACTTTATGTTAAACACAAATTAGGGAAAAATATACAGGCGGGGCTAATAATTCAGAAAGGCTGATAATTCTGACTTGAACTGTATATGTCAAAATAAACTACTGGTTTGTGTTTGCTAATTTCTGATTTTTCTTCCAGGAGAACCGAAGGAGAGCCAAAGAGGAGATCACCAACATGGAGGAGGAGATGTCTCTGGCACAAGAGCAGATCCGAGCGCGGAAAGAGGAGCAGGACAGGAAGAACAATCTGGGCAGCGTCAGGTACTTCAGCCATCCAAAAAACACAGCCGTCACTCACACTTCAGAGTCACTTTCTGCACTTTAGAGCCGCCGATCACATTCACAAAAAATCGGAATCTTCCTATTTAGAGGGAAGCCATCAAATGACTGGCGTGCTGAAATACTAATGTCGCAATTTTTGGGAAGACTATTATCCCCCTCACACACCCTCCTCATCTTGTTCCTCACCTTGTCTTCTCCATGATGAGCTTTTCTCACCTCGCGTCTCCACAGGAGAGAAAAAGAAATAATATTGACTCTTGTCTGACCCCCATTACTGTAGCAATTTAAATTGTGCCGCCTCGGATGGGGAGAAGAGAGACAGACGCTAATTTTCAGACTAATCCGGGAAATTAATTTTTACACACACACCTGTCAGCTCCACAAAAAGCGGAAAATGTGTGCTGTAAAATAACACTTCATTAATTAATCAGGATTTTTATCGCTGTTTCAAAGCCTTCGGCTGGCCCGTCCACGTGATGGACGTCCTGACAATAATCACATTAAAAGTGAGGATTAGACTTTTGATTTGCATGATGGGGAGACGGATAATTAAGGTGCCGGCCTCCCTCTTGGGTTCTGACGCCTTGGTGGGGTTTTAAATAAGCTGATAGGAACGCGCAGTCTGATCTAAGATGAAATCGTAAAACAGAACTCATCTCATCTCCCCTGACCTGAATCCAGCTGAACCCATAGGTCATTTAGAGGACGTTTAACTTTTCATCCAAAGAATATCTTTCAAAATATTTGCAATTTTAGTGCTAGGAAGTTATTTATAAAAATTTGGGTTATTGTTTGCTTATTGGCCAAAACAAAAGAGTCTCTATTGGCCACATACACGCTTGATGGCTCGTTTCTAGTGAGAGGTACAGTACTGTATGGGTCGGTACGGGTCACCTGGTGTATGACAAAGTTTCAGACAATGTCATTTTTACTCGAAATGTCTGCAGTAAGGCTGTACGGGTGGTTCACATATCATATGAGAAGCACTTCTTACAAAACAAATGCTTTGCACACTTGTGTATAAATGTTTATTACTAACCTTTCTATGGACATGATTTAATTATAACTGCAGATTAATGACAGTGCGAAATAGCCTACTGTAACATCTGCAGTTATATAAAATAAGTAAATAAATGCAACATATATGAACCCCTAAAGCCTCTTACAGTGTCATGTATGTTACCAAATACAGAAAAACTGCACACAGCATACATTTAGCCCTTATTTGGCTTAAAAATAACATGCATTGTGTGATTGTGCTCACCAATGCGAAAAATGTCATTTTTAAAGGCAAGGCAAGTTTATTTATATAGCACATTTCATACAAAGTGGTATTTCAAAGTGCTTTACATAAACAGGAATAAAAGACACAAGTATAAATAAAATTAAAACAAATAATATTAAAACAGAAGTAAACAGTGTAAAGACAGTCAATGATACACATTTCATTCATTCATTAATTCATTTATTTTCTTGTTGGCTTAGTCCCTTTATTAATCTGGGGTCGCCACAGCGGAATGAACCGCCAACTTATCCAGCAAGTTTTTACGCAGCGGATGCCAGCCACAACTTATCTCTGGGAAACATCCACACACACATTCACACACACACTTATACACTACGGACAATTTAGCCCACCCAATTCACCTGTACCACATGTCTTTGGACTGTGGGGGAAATCGGAGCACCCAGAGGAAACCCACGCGAAGGCAGGGAGAACATGCAAATTCCACACAGAAACACCAACTGAGCCGAGGTTCGAACCAGCTGTTACTGTTCCTGTTACAGGCTCTTGCTGTTAGGCGACAGCACTACCTACTGCGCCACTACCATTCTGGTGATCACCCCCTCCTCTGTGGACTTTTGCGGTATCTATTAACCTATTGGACGTCTCCCAACAGATTTAATTTTTCACTTTAAGTTGAAAAGTTAAGCTTTACAGCTCTACTTGCGTGCCCCCCAATTTCAACTTCCCTTTGGAAGTAAATCGCACGGCCCCTGATTGCTTTAGCTAGCCAAATGTAATAAAAGGTCTTGATCTCAGCCAGACCCTTGAGACTTTAACCCCACCCCCGGTATTCACCCCCACGGGTGCAATAACTAGTTCAACCACAGGGTGTGAAACTTACATTATGTACCTTTAATGCTGCATTTACACCAGACTTACATGATTTACCAGATTTACATGTTAAGTCAATGCAAAGATGCGAATAGACATCCTGCGGCACGATACGCCAAGTGATGCAACGCAAATGACGTGGCATGAGTTAAACGTTTTGCGCAATTGACATGCTTAACTTGGGTTTCGTGCGAATTGCTCGAGTTGGAAAATCTGAACTTCAGTGAACATTTGCACCGCATTAACTAATCAAGAGCTTTCTCTTGTGGGGAACTGATGACGTACCTCCTGTTGTTGCTGTTCCTGGGGGAAATCCTCCTGCCTACACCGGACAACAGTTAATCAAAGTGGGCTTGGCTCAGTCGGAAGCACCGCTGAAAGCCTCCATCATCCAGGTACAGTGGCTGGAGGAGTTTATAAACTCACAGAGCTGGGTGCACCTCAGAATGGATCTAGTGGACTCGGGAACGGCTCCGAACGAATAGACAGTGTTTTTCAGCCTTCATAAAGCACATAAACACAGCTATTCTCTTAATAAAATCCATGTTAGCCATTTAGTAATGAAACTATAGTCACCAGGCAGACAAAAGCCCTGCCCATGATGCAAATCCACGACTGTTAAGTGAATTTGATGTGCCAACGAAGCAAATTTGATGCGGGAATGAAGCGAGCAAACTCAAAATGATCACGCGTTTATTTACGTGTGGATAGCGCTTTATCCACGCGTACCGTGTCTGATGTGAACACAGCATAATACTGTGTGAGAATAACCTGTCTTTCTACTTAATTTTACTTATTATTTCATTCCTTGGTGAATCACTTCTTAATGCTTTATTTATTCATAAACTTTTTAATTCTTCTTCTTATTGTAGTTTATTTAGGTGAACACCTGCTGTTCCTAAAATTGTGCTTTATAAATAAACTTTGATTTTGGCTTTAAATTTTTTAACGAACTATCACTTTAAAACAACCAAGCGGGATATCGGAGACATTTTGCAACTCTAATTAGTCAAATGGAGTTAATTGTAATGTTAGTTAAGAGTAAAACTAGACAATTGGCTGCACGTTGAATCGGGAGTCTGGAAGAAAGAGAAGGTGATGGAGGTGTGAGGAGTGTGTGTGCTTGGAGGGTCACGGCCTGATGGATGTAATTGCTGGCGGTGTGAGGACGAGAGCGCCGCGCACTGCTGTAATTAAAGATGATAGATGGCCCTGTCAGCTACATCAGACCCGTGTCCCGCAGGTCCCTACAGAGACACAAAAAAACTGTCCTTTTCTCTCTGCCCCGAGCTCCTTGTCACCCTCTGTCTGTTCTTCTCATTTAACCTCAGAGCAGATCTCACAACTACTGATGCATGGCAGATCACAGTCACACACACATACACAAGCTCTCCGTTTGCATTAACATCCAGAAAATAAAAATGCCTTTTCATCATCTCCGAACAGGGCCGTGAAGATCTGCACCCCAGGAAGGAAAGAGGAAATGACGCCGATGACGCCCAAACGAACGCCGGCCCGGTTTGGCTTATAGTGCTCAGTTTCTACAAACGCATAATTGCTTGCGTCAGTGCAGTTTTTCCTCTAATATGTATTCATCACAGTGCTTTTTCATCTTTGGCCAGCAGTAGGAGCAATTGTATAAGGAGAAAAATCTCTTCCTCCCTCTCACGGTGTTATTTGTGGCTCTTTTTAACCATGTTTGGACTGAGATCTTACATTGAATCAGTGCTTAAATTGAAGTGAACACATTTGTTAGGCTTGCATTTAATCTAAAACAACAAAAACAGCATAATTTGACATTAATATGCATATTAGGCCCAATCATTCTCTTTTTTTTATATTTTATGTTTGTGTAAAACCAGAACTCTCGTGCTTATTCACCTTTTTTCACCATGTCTGATCTGAAACAAAAACAACCTTGATCTTACATTGAATCAGTCCTTAAATTGAGAAGTGAACACTTTTTTTATGCTTGCATTTGATCTAAAAACAACTAAAAACAGGTTAATTTTACACTAATATGCATATTTACCCCAATGATTTCTTTTTTCTTTTAATTTAATGTCTGATGTGTTTGCAAAAAAAACAAAAAAAAAAAAACTGCCGTATATATTCATTTTTTTGACTGAAACTTAAAAAAAGATCTTATATTAAATCAGTGTTTAAATTGAGAAGTGAACATAAAACCTCAAAACCACTTGAATTGATATTAAAATGCATATTTACCCCAATCATGTTTTTCTTTTGTTTTAATGTTTAATGTGTTCGCAAATAACCAGAACTGTTGGATTTATTCATTTTTATATACTGAAAATAAAAACCTAGATCTTACATTGAATTGATGTTTAAATTGAAAAGTGAACACATTTGTTAGGCTTGCATTTAATAAAAAAACAGATTAATTTCATATTTATATGCATATTTAGCCCAGTGATTTAGATATTTATTTTATTTTAATGTTTGATGTGTCTACAAACAACCAAAACTGTTGCATTTATTAAATTTTATAGACTAAAACTAAAAGAACCTAGATCTTACATTAAATCAATGCTTAAATTGAAAAGGGAACACATTTGTTATGCTTGCATTTAATAAAAGAGCAGCTTAATTTGACATTATATGCATATTTAGCCCAGTGATTTAGATATTTCTTTTATTTTAATGTTTGATGTGTTTGCAAAAAACAGATGTGTCGAATTTATTCATTTTTTGGGACTGAAACTAAAAGAAACTAGATCTTGCATTAAATCAGTGTCTAAATTGAAAAGTGAACACATTTGTTATGCTTGTATTTGATTTATAAAATCCCAAAACCGCTAAATTTAAATATCAAATGGCATATTTAACCCAATCATGTTTTTCTTTTGTTTTAATGTTTGATGTATTTGCAAATAACCAGAACTGTCGCATTTATTCATTTTTATATACTGAAAAAAAAATCTAGATCTTACATTGAATTAATACTTAAATAAAAAAGTGAACACATTTATTAGGCTTGCATTTAATATAAAAAAACAGCTTAATTTGACAATAATATGTATATTTAGCCCAATCATTTTCTTTTTCTTTAGTTTTAATGTTTGGTCTATTTGCAGTAAACCAGAGCCGCCGCATTTATCACATTTTATAGGCTAAACCTTAAAGACAAACTAGATCTTACATTGAATCAGTGCTTACATAAAGTGAACACATTTGTTAGGCTTGCATTTAATCTAAAAACAACCCAAAACAGCTTAATTTGACATTAATATACATGCATATTTAGCCCAATCATTTTCTTTTTATTATAATTTAATGTTTGACGTGTTTGCAGTCAACCAGAATGGTTGCATTTGTTCAATTTTATAGACGGAAATTAAAGAAAAACTCGATCTTACATTGAATCAGTGCATAAAATGAGATGAAAACATTTGTTTTTGCTTACATTTAATCTAAAACCCCCAAAACATCTTAAGTTGACATTTAATATATGCATATTTAGCTCAATCATTTATTTATTTTATGGTTTGATGTGTTTAAAAAAAAAAAAACAGAACTGTCGCTTATTCTAGTTGTTTTGTTTTGTTTCAGTCAAAAAAAAACCACATCTTACATTAAATCAGTGCTTAAATTGAAATGTGAACACATTTGTTAGGCTTGCATTTAATCTAAAAACAACCCAAAACAGCTTAATTTGACATTAATATACATGCATATTTAGCCCAATCATTTTCTTTTTATTATAATTTAATGTTTGATGTGTTTGCAGTCAACCAGAATGGTTGCATTTATTCAATGTTATAGACGGAAATTGAAGAAAAACTCGATCTTACATTGAATCAGTGCATAAAATGAGATGAAAACATTTGTTTTGCTTACATTTAATCTAAAACCCCCAAAACATCTTAAGTTGACATTTAATATATGCATATTTAGCTCAATCATTTATTTATTTTATGGTTTGATGTGTTTAAAAAAAAAAAAAACAGAACTGTCGCTTTTATTCTAGTTGTTTTGTTTTGTTTCAGTCAAAAAAAAAAACACATCTTACATTAAATCAGTGCTTAAATTGAAATGTGAACACATTTGTTAGGCTTGCATTTAATAAAAAAAAAAAAAACTCCAAAACAGCTTACTTTGACATTAATATGCATATTTAGCCCAATCATTTTCTTTTATTTTAATGTTTGATGTGTTTGCTAAAAAATGAAAAGTCGCATTCATTCATGTCCTCCTATACTATTCACTTTATCGTTGCATCCTAATTCGCATTCTCTCATACTTCAGCTTGTGAAACGCAGCCGTTGTATCTTTCTTTCTTTCAAAAAACACAGAGCCTCCATGAATATTAACTTCCTGTACTTTGATAGGTTAATCCCCTGTGGACGAAGCACGTCTTTGTTATTCTGACAAAAACATTGCTCGAATATTTCATCATTCTACCGGAATCAACACTGACCAGCGGCGGTCAAATCCTGTGTCGTCTTTGATGCAATTGGGCTGCAAGTCGCTGAACAGATGTACTGTGTGCCGACAGAGATGACAGGCCTCGACTGCTGTGAATTAAACAGAAAAACAACAACAATCTTTCACTGAGGGTCATTTCACCTCCTCGCTCCGCTACTGTTTGTATTTTTAGAAACGTACTGATGTGTACAGTATATGTGTATATTGCGTTTGCTTTTTCGTTCTTTATTTTAAATCATTTCGATATGTCAGAGCGTTTAGGAAAATTACTGTATTTTTGACGTGTATTTCACTTTTACCATTTTATATTCGATATTAAAGCAATGAACGCATCTGTGCTTTGTTGCGTTTGCAAGGTGGTGACCAGATCACTGAGTGTAAATTAATGCAATTTGATGCATTTCCTTAATTAGTGGCCATTCTCATGGGATATGATTGTGTTTTTCATTTAATTTAAATGTAAATATGCAGTAAATTGACATTTTTGACATTTACGCTTGTAAAACATGGCCACAGCCTCGGGGGATGGATTGTTTTGTTTTGTTTTTCCCCACTACTGTTTGTTAAGTTTGCATTTAATGGTAATAAATGCGAAACTTGTAATGTGCATAAAAGGCTATGTGTACATTTTGTGGTCTTTTTAGCTTTTAATTTCTATAAATGTAGCTTAAAGGTGCTGTATGTTGACTCTTCAAAAGCTTAAGGATACCATAATATGTTTGCAGATATTTAAGAAACAGTGAACATACTTGTTTATCTGAAAAACAATGCTGAAGTCAGATGTTCTCTTTGAATATGTGCTGGAAAGTCCGTCTATGTTTTGGGCCCTTTAACCCGCCCACTGCCAGTTTAGCCAATTATATTTCAGCACCCCGGATTGCCATGATGGAAAACAGTGCATTTCATTCATTCAGAAAAACTCTCAACGCATGCGTCCGTAACTGTAATGTGACCTCTGATAGACAGTAGCAGACTCCGAAATGAGATGCAGATTCAGAGTTCCACGTGAGGTGGTTATTAATTAGCAAATAACATTAATATTACGAATGTAAACATTAGGTGAGCAGGTTACATGAGAAAATTTGCAGTGATAAGCTATTTGGCTATTTGCACCAGATGCAACACTACAGAAATCTAAATAGACTAGTGCACTCGCTGCACTCCAACAAAATTCTAAGGTTTATAATCAAATTAATTCATATTAAACCTCTTTTACATTACTAAATGTAGATGCTGAATCACTGTTATGTGGCTTGCACCGAGTCACAGTTCTAAAGTTTAATTTCAAATGGTTTATTTTATTTTCAAGAGGTTTTTAAGGTAAACTATGCTTCTGCTTTCAGTAGTATGGCAATAAATGTCATGTAAAATGGCATTCAAACTCGCATTTTTAGCATTTAACAGTGAATAAAGCGCATATTCCGTCTATCACATGCCATTGCTTTTATTTAGAACATGATTTAAATCAACCTTTAGGCTTGACAGTCAGGCACACTCATGTTGGTTTCGTCAATCTGGCAACATGTGCTTGCATGTGTTTTGAACTAGGAGTGCAATACCTAGATTAACCACTGGGTGTCAAACTTACATCCTGCATCTTTAAACGTGACTACAAAACTAGTCGAGTGTCAATTTCTGTAAATCGAGATTTTGAAAAGTAAATAAGTCATTAAGGTATGGGTGTATGATGTATGTAAACGGGATAGTTCACCCTAAAAAATTAATTAATAAATTAGCCCCCTTTTTAAATTTTTTTTTTCTCTTTTTTTCAATAATTCCCAAATGATGTTTAACAGAGCAAGGAAATTTTCACAGTATGTCTGTATGTCAATTATTTTTTCTTCTGGAGAAAGTCTTATTTGTTTTGTTTTTTTCAGGTAGAATAATTTTTAATTTCTTATGAACCAATTTAAGGTCAAAACTACTAGCCCTTTTAAGCTATATTTTTTTTTCGATAGTCTATATATATATATATATATATATATATATATAATTATTATTATTATTATATAATATTTATTTGTGTATTTATTTATTAAATGTCCAAAACTATTGAGTTCCATAAAAGGAAAAAATGGTAAGACTGTATTTCGATGGTTCCTATTGCACATTTTGTTGACTAAAATTTGCATTGCAGCTACATGCCAATTAGTTCTCATTTAAATATTAGTAGTCTGTCTGCTTAATATAAGCTGATTCTGCTCCTTCAACAGACATTTATCTTACTATAAGAAACTTTGCAAGTAAATTTCAATTTACACTAACCCCAACCCTAACAGTCTACTTAAAATCTATTGAGAATTAGTTTGCATGTGGATGCAATGTAACTTAAATTCAACAAAATGTGTTAAAGGGACCATCGATATAAAGTGATTACGGAAACTACAGGTTTTCAGCATTTTTCTAAATATTTTCTTTTGCATTCAACAGAAGAAACAGATCTGTAAAAAGTAAATGACGAGTAAATAGTAACAGATTTGTCGGTCTTGGGTGAACTACGCCTTTAATATATGATGATATGTGACTGAGATATAACTATTTAAATATCAGGGATCCCCAGGTTAAAAACACAATCTGAATGCTAAGTAAATCACCTTTTAAAGTTGTCCAAGTTAGCTGTTTGCAAGCGTGTTTATATAT